TGTGTGTGTGCGTGTGTGTGCCAGATATAAATATTGTATAAACACAGTTGAGTTGGCTCCTGACAGGTGTAAAAGGTAGCAGTTAAGCTTGCTCCACTCCTACCTGTTTTCTTTTTTGCTGTTTTTAATGTTGCTTAAACACACACACACACACACACAGTCTTGCCTTTTTGAAAAAGCAGCAACTGCCTTTTATTCTTCTGACATGGAAATTAAACCTTCAACTGCTCATCCATCCTTCTGTCCGTCACCTGTTTCACACATCGACTTTTTAATTTTTTAAGAGAACTTAATGTAGTTGATGTTTGAGCTGTAAGTGAAGGATGGTTTAGTACTGTGGTTTCTTACAATCTAATCTTGCACACATTAGCCTGGACAATTTGCCCTCCTTACTTCCTGTTGGAGAATTTTTGATGTTGATTTATTGGATTATGTAACTTTGATAGTGCATACAACAGCGTGGTATGAGTGGTAGTATGAGTATGAGTAGTATTTTTACTGTGTAACACTAAAGCTGGTTATATCCATTAGAGGAATACACATAGAAACAGTAAACCAGTCAGTAGTAATACAAAGAAAAATAAATGAGGGAAGCCATTTAATGCAGAAAAGTGAGAAGATTTACATTGATTCAATTTGTGCACAATTGCAGGCACTAAAATCAAAAAAGGCCCAATTTTGCAGACTCGGGTTGCAACACATTTTAAGCTAGATGTTTGCAGCAAGGCCAGGTTTATTTGGATTTTAAGGCTTTTTTAGTGGCTGCATTTGTGCGAACATGGAGCAAATATTTTCTCACTTTGCTGCATTGAACAGCTTACCTTTTTTTTTCTTTGTCTATTTCAGAATACATCAAGTGTTGTGTAATGTACACCTGGTAGACAGGTGTGTCACTAAATTAGATAATACAAAAGAAAAATCTGAATTCCTGCGTACTGTCACCACTGAGCTTATTAGAAATGCACCAGTTGGTCATGGAACTACTTTCTGTAGGCCTGATGAAGGCCCATGGCCGAAACATTGTATTTTTAATAAACTCAATGCTGACATTGTAATTGAATTCAAGTTAAATAAATGTTAAAATGATGTTATTTCTTTATTCTAGATGCACTGTTTTCTTTTTCCTCACACTAACATTAACTTAACAGTGAACAGAGCAGATTTAGAACATATGTAAATATTTAAACTGTTCAATGTTGGATTTATGTGTGCGTCAAGGAGTGAAAGAGGGAAAGATATAGATAGAGAGATACAGCGAGACAGAGAAAAGCGATCAAAACAGCAGACGATCTCTTGCACCTGAACGAGCAGCAGCACTGTGTCTGTGTCTGTGTGTGTGAGTGAGAGAGAGAGCCAAAACGCTCCCTCTGATCTTGGTTCAAAGGCAGCAGGGAAGAGGCTCAAAGCATTCTGGGTCCAGGGGAGAGATGGAGCAAAGGAGGTAAAAGAAGGAATGACGCAAAGAAAAAAAAAAAAAGTCAAGGAGAGTGGGAGATAGATGCGGCAAAGATTCCCCAGGGCTGGCAAATCAATCAGAGCACACATGGATACATGGGTTCAAACGCCGATTTTGATCAATCAATCAGTATTTCCTATCTCAAATTACATAATGTTTTAGTTTACTCGGCCTGTGATATGTTTTCCATGTATATGAGTTCTTTTATGGCCCTGAGATAAGGATACTTTTTGGGAGAAAATAATGGTTGCATGTGATATTCAGACCTCAAATCTACAGCTCAGATCCAGGAATCACTAGAAATAGTAAAATAAAGCCATATTTGATTTATTTACACCCCAAAAGAGGGATTCCTCTCATGCTAGATCTAACTTTGAAATCAGCTTTGAAAAGCCTCACAAAAGAACATTAGTAGAAGAAGAATTAGTGCCATTGAAAGTCAATGGGGGTAAGATAAGCTGTGGTACTTGATACTATTAGAGAGACAAACCTCTGAAAGTTAAGGCCTTAAGTTCAGAAGCAGGGCTGTTACCCCACTGTGTGCATGTGTGTCTGTGTGTGTGTGTGTGTGTGTGTGAGAGAGAGACGAGAGAAGAGTCTGATGGTCTTAACAGTAAAACTAATAGTGGATGACTGCCTTAGCTGGAGGCTCACTTCTCTGTAAAGTTTCCAGCTGCTTTCAAGAGACACGCACAGCACACACAGAAAACCTCACACACACACACAGATACGGACACACACACTTTTTGGAAAGCCAAACATAAAGCTGTATAGGTTGGATTTAAAAAAAAATTAAAGTAGAACAGGAAAAAGACAATTTCATGTGGCGGGATGGCGTGATATAAATCTTGTTTTTTCCCATCGATGTGAGTCGTCTTCGCTTTCAGAGATCTTGGGGGTTCGTTATGATGGATGGAGTAGAGGGAGAGAGACAGGGGACGCAAGGGAAAACAATTTGGAGAAATTTACGCCTTAGTTTGGTGCAGTTTGTAGAGCGTATTGCAGTGTTTTATGGCCCGCTGTCTGAGTCCATTTCCTCTCATTTTATTTCATTTAGGCTTATAGTTTTTTTAACTTATAGTTTATTTTGAAAAGACACTCACCATCAAAAGTGGTGTCACTCATGTCTGTTTAGCTATCTATGGGGTGTTTGTCTCGGTCATAAAGTTGAAGCTGTAAAGGTTAAATGCACATTTGGCCACTAAAACAAGCAGACAGTCCTTTGGTATGTGTGTGTGTGTCTCCCACCACTGATGGTCAAGGTTTCTGTCTTTGTGTGGATGGGGGCGGATGGCTGGACACCAGTCTGCTCTTCCTTCCCCCTCTACGCACACACACAGACACACACAACAATCACACACGCACACACGGACAGGTTTGGATCTGTATTTTGCTGAGGAAGGAGGCTCGAACGGGTTCAGCGAGTAAAACGGCCAGGTCTGCTTTTTCATTGGTCGACCTCTACTTCCTACTCCTGAGGATGACCCGGCACCGATTTCTGGGAAAGTGATTGGTGCAAGAAGAAGAAGTAGCAGTCTGAGCGGGGTGCCGCGGGTTCCCCTCCGAGGCCTGTCACTTCACAATGAGTCCGTAGAGCGCTGCCTAATGATCAACCAGACACCAGTCACGAACCATTTCTCACCTTGCTGTACTATTCAAAGGGAACAACAAATGAAATACGAATAACTAAATACTAACCATAAGAAAAATATTAAATTTAAATACCACAAAGTTATTGTATTGAGAAAATGGGAGGCAGGAGAGGAAATAGAGATTAGGAGAAGAAGACGGAAAGAGAGGAATGACGGGATAAGGAGAAAACAGGACAGAAAGTAAAGAACACAGAAGAGAGGAGAGGAAACTAACGAGATAGAAGAGGGCACGAAGGAAATAGAGAGCGCAAGAGAGGGATGAGAAACAGGAAGGAAAGAAAACTTGAGGACAAATCGAGAGAGGAAATAAAAGATTAGGCAAGGAAGAGAGGAGACAACACCTGGAGAGGGAAGGAAATGGAGACAACAAGGAGATAAGGACATGAAATAAGAGAGAAAGAGATGACGAGGAGAGATGTGACAGAAAGGAGAACAGAGAAAGCAACAGAGACACTCACATCTTCGCTTCATCATATCTACAAGTAGCTATTTATTTACCCCATTGTCATCTACACCAACGTTCCACCCCATCTTCTACTATAACACTTACATTATCCACATTCATCCTTCCCTCCCTTCTTTCCTTTGTCCTCACCTCTTTTCACCCTCCCTCCCTCCCTCTCCCCCCCCTCTGTCTTTACACTCCTCTACCTCCTTCCTCTGCCCGTCTCTCCCAGTCTCTCCTGTTTATGAAGGTAAATTTATAGGTCTACCAGGAGCTGTTAGCTGGAGGTGGCCTCCGCTGCTCAAACCACAACAAGGCCTCACCCTCCACATGGAACAGAAACAGCATAGTGGGCATACTGGGCTATTTCCATCATCACACATTTACACATGATGGTACACTCACACCTCTCATTATCTACTAATGAGAGTCCCTGTTTTCTTCCTGCTCTCCCTTTTGGATCCTGCCTCGCTCCATCATTTTCTTGATGAGTGGTTGGGTGGTTTTTCTTTTTTTTTCTTACTTTATATTGCTCCATCTAGCATTTGTTTTTTATTGGTCTACAAGGAGCAGTTAGCCAGTGGTGGGCTCCACTTTTTAACCAGCACATGTGTTGTACGGTTTTTCACACACTGCTGTTATAAGTCAGCTCACTCAGTACATAGTTATATCATTTATGTAGTGTGTCCTCCCTGCTGCGCATTTGTCTTGTTTAATACTCTGCTGTCTTTCTGTATGTTGTAACTGGGAGTGAAGGTAGGGGAAGATGTCAGAATAAAAGACATGAGAACATGGGATGGTAAAGACAATTTTATTTTTGCATCAAGGGGGTAAAATAAGTGACAGACGCAACATTTGACATACTATATATTAATTAAAACTCAACCTTTTTAACAAAGAGGACTGTCTCACACACACTCACATACACAAACAC